ATCCTGATTTTCTGATACATTTCTGTATGTATTGTTATGTGCCATTGAGTCACTTGCAACTTACAGTGACCTTATTTACAACAGGTCTGAACCCTGCTCTATCTTGAGCCAATATCATTGTCTCCTACACATCTAACCCCACTACCCGAGCCACTGTGTCAATCCAGCTCATCCAGGATCTTCCTCTTTTGTACTGTCTCTCTACCCTTTCAAACATGATATCCTTCACCAAGCACTGGTCCCTCCTGGCAACATGCCCAAAGTATGTCAGTTGGAACTTCAAAATCTTTGCCTCCAAAGTTTCACCCTCTCCAGGACTGACCTGTTTGTTCTCTTGGTAGTCCATGGTATATTCAATATTCTTCTCCAGCACCACAACTCAAAAGCATTGATTCTTCTTCTATTATTCTTAGTCATTATCCAGCTCTTTGATGCTTAGCAAGCAATTGCAAAACGCCATGGCTTGAGACAGGTGCACCTTAGACTCTAGATTGACATTGTTGTTCTTCAGTACTCTGGAGAGGTCCCAGACAGCAGATTTTGCCAAAGCAATTCATCTTTTGAATTCCTGGCTGCGGGTACCAAGAGTAGAAACAATCAAGCTGAAGCTGTTAACAATCTCAATCTCATCTGTTTCTATCATGATGCTGCCAATTAGCCCAGTGGTGAGAATCTTTGTTTTCTTGAAGTTGAGCTTCAATCTGTATTGGAGGCTGCAGTCTTTGATCTTTTGTAGCAAATGCCTCAGGTTCTTCTCCATTTCAGCAAACAAGGTTGTATCATCTGCATAACACAATTTGTTGATGAGTCTACCTCAAATCCTGATGTCTCATTACTCCTCATAAAGTCCAACCTCTCTGTTCCACATATAGAATGAAAAGGTATGGAGAGAAAATGCATCCTTGGTGTACATCTTTCCTGATTTTGGACCATACAGTGTTTCCTTGTCCTGACTACTGCCTCCTGATTCAAGTATGGGTTTTGCATAAGAACAATGAAACGTTCTGGGATTCCCATTCTTCTCAAGGTTGGCTACAAATTGTTGTGATCCACAAAATAAAATGCCTTTACCAAGATTGCAAAGACAGAAGAGGAAGAAAATACCAAAATGGATGTCAGAAGATACTCTGAAAATTGCACTGAAGTGCAGAGAAGCCAAAGCACAGGGAAGAATTCAAGATACTAAAGAGTTGAATAGAAGATTTCAAAAGGCAGGAC